ATATTCATTTTTTAAAATAACCCATTTTAAAAAACACACTCATTTGACTCAGCTGTTTCACAGGAGCCTTGCAGATGCTTGAAAAGTGTTTTATTACCCAGCTCCAATGCCAACCCTCTTTCCCTTTAGAGCTCTTGCTCACCTATCAGTTCAGATCCCAGCATCCATGTCAGGTGGCTTATAGTTGTCTGTAACTCCAGACATGACACCCTCTTCTGCTCTCTACAGGCACCCATGCTCACATGCATGTATCCACATATAACATTTTTAAATTTTAAGTATGTGTGTGCACAAGTACACACACACGCGCACGCGTGCGCACACACATACACACACACACACACACACACACACACACACACACACACTCATGAGTACAGTGCCTATGGAGGCCAGAAGATGGCACTGGATCCCCTGTGATTGAAGTGACAGACAGTTGTGAGCTGCCTGACATGAGTGCTGGGAACCAAACTCAGGTCTTCTGCAAGAGTAGTGTATGCTCTTAACTGCTGAACTATCTTTCTAGCCATCTCACTCCTAATTTTAAAAACAAAATAAATCTTTAAAAAAAAGGAAGGGACAACGAAAAGAGAAGGAAGGAAGGAAGGAAGGAAGGAAGGAAGGAAGGAAGAAAGAAAGAAAGAAAGAAAGAAAGAAAGAAAGAAAGGACAGAAAGAAAGGACAGAAAGAAAAGGGAAGGAAAAGAAAAGAAAAGAAAAGAAAAGAAAAGAAAAGAAAAGAAAAGAGAAATGTTTCTGATACTTCTATTTTGTGAAACAGGGTCTTGCTATGTCCAGGCTGTCCTGGAGCTGGCAGTTATCTCTTTCTAGGCTCCAGAGGTATGGAAAAGAAGCACCTTTTTATATAAATGATGTTTTTAAAGTAAGTACAGACACTATAATATAATAATCTAGATAAAATTGTACTCAAAGGGATAATTTATTTCCATTCTAGAACTGAAAGGTGCTTTCTTAGAAGCTCAATTTCTTCTTGTTGTTTTAATTTTTTATTGAGCTAATACATTTTTCTCTGCTCCCCTCCCCTCCTCTCCTCTCCCCTTCTGCCCTCTCCCATGGTCACCATGCTCCCAGTTTACTCAGGATATCTTGTCTTTTACTACTTTCCATGTAGATTAGATCCATGTATGCTTCTTTTAGTGTCCTCATTGTTGTCTAGGTTCTCTGGGATCATGAATTGTAGGCTGGTTTTTCTTTGCTTTATGTCTAAAAGCCACTTATGAGTGAGTACATATGATATTTGTCTTTCTGGGTCTGGGTTACCTCACTCCATATGATGTTTTCTTGATCCATCTATTTACCTGCAAATTTCAAGATGTCTTTTTTTCTGCTGTGTAGTACTCCATTGTGTAAATGTATCACATTTTCCGTTTTAAATTTTTTTAATTATGTATACAGTGGTGTTCTGTCTGCATATATACCTGCATACCAGAAGAGGACACCAGACCACATTACAGATGTTTGGGTGCCACCATGTAGTTGCTAGAAATTGAACTCAGGACCTCTGGAAGAGCAGCCAGTGCTCTTAACCTCTGAGCCATGTCTCCAATCCTGAATTTCTTCTTTTAAAAAGGATTTGATTATAAGGGTTGTAGGTTTAGTTCAGTGGTAGAGCGTACCTTAGCACTCAACAAAGATCTAAATTTGATCTCCAGTGTATCCACACACAAGATCAATCAAATTCTTACACTATAAATTCTTCCTAAAATATATGGTTCCAGCATTGTGTGCCTAGTACATTAGTTGTCTTGTACTATATAATAAGTCATTCCAAACAATAATCATTTGTTATTTCACAGTATCTTTGAGTCAGGAATCTAGGTGACAGACTTACTCAAAGTCTTAGGAGGTTGAAGACATGGTGGCCACCAGCACTGCCACTTCAGGAAAATATACAGCTATGGGGAATTGGTGGTTATTGACACATCCAGTTGATGGAAGGACTCAGTTTCTCTTGAGTTGTGGTACTAAAGCCCTTAGTTACCTGATGACTGTTGGCCAGAAGTCTCCTGACATAGGAACCTCTCCATAAGGAGCTTCACGACATGGAAGCTGGCTGTCTTTAGAGGGAGCAGTAAAGAGCACAACAATAAAAGCTACAGTATTTTGTATTCTAATTATAGAAGTGACGTCTCATTACTCTGTCATATCTTATTCATTAAGGTAAATCAGCCAGGTACGGTGGAACCTACCTATAACCCCAGCACTGGAGAGACTGAGGCAGGAGAATCATTATAACAAAGTTAGCCTGGGTTACAAATATGACCCTGTCTCAAGAACACAGCAAAACCAAACAAGATGAGTCAGTAAATACATTATATATGGAAGGATATATTAAAAGGTATAAAAATCACGACAGTCTTGTCATTAGTCCCCAAGCTTTTGTCTCTGTAAGCACATCATGTAAAACTGTCCCATATAATGTTCCACATACCAGACCAGCTAACATGTAACATGGTAGCTAGGAAAGCACACATAGTCTTTCATCAAAATAAACATGGAACACGAATGAAATACAGGATCAAGCAGACCACTCACATTATCCATTATCCAAATAAATATATATAATTTGCTCATAAATTAATTTTCAGTTAAATGTTACATCAAAACCTCAACCTAACCAGGTTTCATGGTACCCGAATGTAATTCCAGCATTCAGAATATCATAATTTTGAGGCAGCCTGAACTAAATAGTAGTATTTCAAAGATGAAACTTTTGAATACATGAGACCCAGAGTTCATTCCCCAGAACAAATAAAACAATCTATGTAATTTTAAAATTGCTTAAGCTATTCCATAAAGCAGTTATTTAAGTACTTTTGAAGTTCTTCTGTATAAGTAAGATAAAGTCATTGCAGGTATAACTGTCTTAAAATAAAATTGATGTCTATAGGAATTCTTTTACTTTTAGAGTTGCCAATCTTAAGAGAATATTTGGTGTAGTCTTTATAGGTTCATTTCAAAGTAAAGGCTATATAGTAAAGTAGTTTTGTTAACTTGTTAGCGTGTGTAAGAAGCTATTCTATATCTTACTATTTCTATCCAAATAAATTCCATTTAAAATGAAAGATTTAAACAGGAGCACACAAAGGTTAAAGAGAAAGGATATATGAATATCTATAAACTCAAAGGTAGTGGAGATCTTTCTGAACATAACATCCAATTCAGAATCTACATAGCTATTTCCATTCAGAAAAAAATAGAATAATCAATAACAAACTGTCATAAAGTGTAAAAACTCTATAAGAAAAAAATCTTTACTAAATATATCACAGGGATCATGCTAATTCCTCTCATTCTGAAAGAGCTCTTAGGGTCAGTGAGATGGCTTAGTGAAGCACCTGCCATCAAGCCTGACCAACTAAGTTCAGTCCCCAAGACCTTCATGGTTTGAGGAGAGATCTGAATCCCACACTTTGTTGTCTGACTTCCACATGCATACATGCACACATGTGCGCACGCACACACAATAAATAGAAATGTGATAAAAATGTAAAAGAGCTTTTACAACTCAGTAAAATGATGATAAATACACTAATAATTTAAAGAAGGCATGTTCAGTTAATAATTTCACACGCAATGCGTAGACTGGGGCTGTAGTTCAGTGGTAGAACACATGCTTAGCGCATGTTCAAGGCCCTAGGTTCAATACACAAGAACTCCACAATGTTTATATAAAAAATGCATGTCTTTATTTCTAGCTCTTGGGAAGCAGAAGCACGTGGATCTCTGTAAGTTCCTGGCCACTCAAGGTTACATAGTTAGACCCTGTCTAAAAAAACTAAAAACGAAGAGCAATAGCCGTGCTCCAGTGGACCCAATTCAATTGTACCCACCTGGAGATAGCTCACGATTGTCTGTAGTTCCAGTCCCAGGTCATTTGAAACCCTCTTCTAGTCTCTGAAGTACGCACATGATACACAGACATACATGCAGACAAAAGACCCATACACATAAATAAAATTATAAGAAAATGGTGTGTGTGTGTGTACAGAGAGAAAGAGACAGATACATACTAAAATTGTGCTCCATGTTTTTAAAGGTGCCACATATATTGAAAAGTTATACATGCATTAAAAAATGATAGCAGTGATTAGGGTGCCTCAGTGGCAGATTGGTAGCATCTGTGGTTTGTGGTATTGTTGGAGAAGTACTTAAATTATTTATAGCAGTTGAAGTTGGTACACTCTTTAGGTCATAGAAAGATGCTCAAATACGTTGTAAAACTGGAAAATAAAAAAAGAAGATTCAAGTTAGGCCTGATGGCATAGGCATGTAAATCTAGTTATTCAAGAGGCTGAGGCAGGAGAATCAAGGCCAACCTGGGCTACAGAGCAATGTCAACCCAATCTGTGCAACTTACTGAGACTTTGTCTCAAAGACTAAAAGAAGGTGTATGAGAGAGATGACTCAGTGATTAAGAACACTTTCTGCCCTTGCAGAGTACCTGGCTCTGACTCCTAGCATCCACATAGCAACTCACAACCCTCTGTAACCACAGTTCAGGGATGCTGATACCTTCTTGGCTCCACACACAGTTGTCATACACAGATATAAATGCAGGAAAAATACCCATATATATATAATAAATATAATTAATATAATATAGCATAAAATAATATATATTATACATATATATGTATATGTAGTTTTTTTTAGTGAAAAAAGGGCTAGAGATAAAGTTCAATGGGTAGAATGCTTGCTTGGCATGAATAGGGCCCTGGGTTCAGTTTGTAGTACCACAAAAAGGAAGAAAGGTAGAAAGGAAAGGCAAAGCTCATGAGCTTTATATGTATACACTGAAAACTGTGTGAGATGAATAGTTAACTTTGCATTTCTCTGAGTAGAACTAAGGGATTGACTTTATCAGCAACCTGTTTAAAAATTTAAATATTTTAATTTAAATGTTTAAAAATTTATAGGTAAAATATTTTATAAGCAGTAAGAATATTTTTAAAAGGTAATTTATAATTTCTTTTACAGGCGATTACATGCTTGAGGCAAAGCCAAAAGAAATTTCAGAAATTCAACGTGTAAATTATGAACAGGTAATAAACATGGTTTTTAATTAAGTTTTGTGTTATTTATAACACAAAATTATTTATAAAATATAATATATAAAATATAAATATGTTTTATGTAATTTTTTTAAAAAAACACATTGATCATTGTCTGTGGTTTGAAACTTTCTTTCTTTCTTTCTTTTTTGTTTTTTTGTTTTTTCGAGACAGGGTTTCTCTGTATAACAGCCCTGGCTGTACTGGAACTCCCTCTGTAGACCAGGCTGACTTCAGACTCTCAGAGATCTGCCTGCCTCTGCCTCCTGAGTGTTGGGATTAAAAGGTGTGCACCACTGTGCCTGTCCAGTTGAAACTTTCTCTATACAGGACTAGAGAGTAAATGTTTTAGGCTTTGCCGGTCACATAAGTTCAAGTCTATTGCTTATTCCTTCTTTTTCAATGTATATTTTAAATATTTTTAAAAATGTAATGTATATCCTAGCTCAGAACCATATTTGGTTCAGAAATCGTAATTTTTGAATTCCTGTTTCATTGTATGTGCTAATGATGTATTGATATCATCTTATAAACCTGTACAGGATAAGTTGGCATTTTTCTTTAAAAAATTGACTCTCAAGTGAATTTTTCATTGATTTATCTTTTGTTTCATTTAAGTTATTATCATTTTTTCTAGTGCTGAGAATTGACTTCATTACCTTGTACATGCCAGGTAAACACTCAACCAGTCCTCAAGTTATGTTTAGGATAAAGTTGAGTAAATGCTGACTGAGATGTCTGGACACCATTTGCAATTATGTAATTTCAACACGTCGACATTTTGTGGTTTGTTCTTTAGAGATCCTGTTCTGTAATGAAGGCACAGTAGATTGAAAATTACCAAAGCCAGTAGTAAACAAGCAAGCCTCATTTTCTTCAGTGTTCTTTGTGTTTGTCAGTAGAAGGAAGGAAAAAGAAATTAGCTTCTTTTTGTGAAAGGAGCAATCACCTAGAGAGGAAATGAAAATCACTGGGGATGCATTCTCACTGTCCAAGCAACTGGGCATGGTGAAGCCTGATCTGCCTAGATTTCCATGCCAACCAGGGCTACACAGTGAGCCCCTCACTCAGAAAACAAAACAACTGTCAGGAGCAAATTCACAACAGGAAACAAAATTCATTTCTGTTTTTTTCGGAGTTTATCTCTTTCTTTCATTCGTTCATTTATTCATTGGTTGATTGATTGATTGAGATAGGGTCCCACTGTATAGACTTGGCTTGCCTGGAGCTCACAATGTAGACCAAGTTAGCGTTTAATTCACAAAGATCTATCATCCTCTTCCTCCGAGTGCTGGGAATAATTTACAAAGTTCAGCATTGCATTATAAGGTTAGAGAGGAACAGTCTAAGGTTTTGAAACAACCAACCTTAATATATCCAGTAACCTTACATGGATTGACAAATGATAGGGGCTCTGTAAGAGCTGAATGGACTCCTGTGTCAATGTTAGATTTAAGGTGAATCTCCTTAAATCTAACATTGACACAGGAGTCAAATAGTCTCAAGGAACCAATAGTCTCAAATGGCACACATTTACCTTTTGTGACCAAATGTTAAACTTGTGGTCATTCTGTAATAGAATTATCCCTAAAGACTAGACAGACTTTGTTAAAGCAGTTTTAGAGCCTACTCTGTAATTACAGTGGAGTACCTGTTTCAGAAAATAGGCTAAGACTATTGAACAACTAGAGATATGGAAACCTCTCAAGATCAACTTCTTGAAGAAGGACATTATGGTACTATAGAATTTTTTTTACAAAGATTGATATCAGCAGAAAATAGAATGATACCAAATTCAGAAGCTAAACAAATAATTGAATCTGTGGCTTTTGAAAATGCTAATTCTCAATGCAAAAGAATTATTAAGCCAATAAAGGCATGATCAGCACCTTGCCTTGAATGGTTCCAAGATATAATAATATAGAATCTCATGACCATGATCATGAATAGGAGAGGTGATTTCCAGAGGTTTGAGGAAAAATCAAAATGTCAAGTTTTATAATTGAAGCAAAGAAGGTCACCTTAAAAGAGTCTGTAAAAAGGATATTCCTAGGAACAATGTTTTTCTACGTATAAACCAAACAGAATGCCCCTTCCTTCTGGATTATGCAGAAGGTGTACCTAAGGCCTAATGAATGTATCAAAGGTCTAATGAATGTAGATCAACAAAAGATATCCAAGGTAACCTTTTGCCACCAAGAAACTCCTTGAGGGGTCTCTTGCAGGCCCCTATGCCAAGTCCAGTTCAGTCATTTCCTGCCATCATAGAGGAAACTCATTCCCCGAGCAGTTAAAGAACTTCATGCCTATTGTAAGGAAGGTCAGAGAGGAAAATTAAAGCCATTTGTTGTGAACATAACAATGAATTTGTAGGGACATGATTTGTTACAGCAATGTAATACTCAGATTAACATTCCCCATGTATTAGAAACAAACCATAAATTAAGGTTTTTTTCTGGGAAATATATTACAAGATATTATAAAGAAGAGTCACCAACCATTCAAGTACTACAAGAAAGGGCACAACAGCTGCTAATTTTCTAAGGCACCAACAGTCCTACCTTTAAAATGGTTGACACACAAATCTAAGTGAATTCTGGTCATATTACCCCCTAAACACTCCTCTACAGGAATTTTAATGCAGAGGGAAGATATTATCTTAGAATGAATCTTTATATCAAAAAAAGGTTGTACAATGGCCTTTAACAGCAGAGAAACTGCAGGCTTTTGAACAGCTGGTATAGAAGCAACTAAATAGTCAATATATTGAAGAGTCAACCAGCCCTTGGAATTCTCCTGTATTTGTTATTAAAAAGATATCTGGAAAATGGAGAATAAAAACAGATTCAGCCAACAGGCTCTCTACAGTCTGGCATTCCTTTGCTGTCTCTATTACCTAAAGGATGGCTTCTTATAGTTGTTGATTTAAAAGATTGTTTCTTCACTATGCCTTTACAAGAAAAAGAGAAAGAAAATTTTGTCTTCACGGTGCCTACTTATTATAGATAATTCTCAGCCTGCTAAGAGATATCAATGGAAGGTTCTTCCACAGGGAATATTAAATAGCCTCACCGTGTTGCAATATTTTTTAAGTCAGCCATTGGAAATGCTATGTAAGTAATTTCCAAAATTTTAAGTTTACCATTGAGGAAGAGACCTTGTCAGTCATCCTCATCAACTTAGAACATAAATCCCAATATGGACAAGTTCAACAGAACTGCCATATACGGGCTGCCCATGCATGCTTCAGCATTGCCAGGGCATAAATTTCAAAAAAAATTATAGTTTACCGTTAGATGGACAATATCTTATTAGTTGACTCAAACATATATCCTTTAGAAAGAATGTTTGAAGAAGTAAAGAAAATTTTGCTTGGTTGGGGATTTCAGATTGCTCCTAAAAATATAAAGAAGAGATTCTGTTAATTATTATGACTATATGTGGATTGTGTGGATTCAAATCTAACTGAATTCTGGTCATATTACCCTCTAAACACTCCCCTACAGGAATTTTAATGCAGAGGGAAGATATTATCTTAGAATGGATCTTTATATAAAAAAAACAAATAAAAATTAAAAATTTATGGGTAAAGGGTTTCTGAGTAAATTCTAAGAGGAAAACTGAGACTTCAGCAATTAGCAATAATAGACCCAGAACTTATAGAACCTTTTAATAATGATGAAATTGACAAATTATGGAAAGAAAGTGAACCCTGGCAAAGAGCTTGTAATAATTTTTTGGAAGAGATTAACAACAAATAACCCAAAAGCAAAAGAATTCAACTTATAAAGAACAAGCTGGATCCTTCCTCATATTGTATGAGAAATACCAGTAATTGGAGCCCCTACTTTATATACTGATACAAATGAATCAGGAAATGCAGGTTACAATTATATGCTAGTCTCATGGTACTAAGGGACTTTAAAAAACCTTTCAACATAGTTACTGATTCACAATATGCAGGGAGAGTTGTTTTGCATATTAAAACCACTGAATTTATACCAGATGATACAGAATTGACTTTATTATTTATTCAATTAAAAGATACAATTAGGAATAGGAATCATCCCATATACATAACACACAGCCAAACCCATATGGGTCTGCCAGGTGCTCTAGCACAAGGTAATGCAAAAATTGATCAATTATTGATTGGAAATGTGCTGAAGGCCTCAGAATTTCATTTAAAAAATCATGTCAATAGCAAGGATTTACAAAGGACTTTTCTATCATGTGACAATGAGCCAAGTAAATTATAAGGAAATGTTCTACTTGTTCTTTCTACAACCAAATACCACTACCTATAGGAAGTAAACCAAAGGGTACTCAAAGGAATGAAATCTGGCAGATGGATGTGTTCGACTTGTAGAATTTGGAAAACTAAAATATGTATACCACACCATTGATACCTATTCAGGTTTTCAGTGGGCAATTGCTTTGTTCAGAAAAGGCTGATTCAGTAATCACACATTTGCTTTAAGTTATGGCCATCATGGGTATACTTGTACAAATAAAGACAGACAATGATCCAGCATATGTCCCTCAGAAAATTAAAGTTTTTTGTTTATTATAATATAAAGCATATTACAGGTATACCAAACAATCCTATAGGGCAGGAAGTTATAGAAAGATCAAATCAAACTCTGAAGGGTATGTTGAAATAACAGAAAGGGATGATAAATGCCCTCAGAAAAAGATTGCATAATGCTTTATTAACTTTAAATTTTCTAAATGCTAATGATAAAGGAACAGCTGTGAAGAGACATTGGATAGTAGAAAAAACTATGAAATTAAATCAGCCAGTAAGTATTCTTTAAAGTTGTACTGACCTCAGAATGGAAACCAGAACATGTGCTACATTGGGGAAGAGGTTCTACCTTTGTTTCCACAGGAAAAGAAAAGCTATTGATACCATCAAAATTGATAAAGATTTGATTTGAACAAGAGATACCCTTTAATTAGAAGAGATGATAGTTCATGAAACAGCATGG